TCTGGTTCTGGTGCAGGAGCGGGCCGTGGTAGTGGATCTGGTTCTGGCGCAGGAGCAGGCAGTGGCAGTGGATCTGGTTCAGGCGTAGGAGCGGGTCGTGGTAGCGGATCTGGTTCTGGTGCGGGAGCGGGCCGTGGTAGTGGATCAGGTTCTGGCGCAGGAGCAGGCAGTGGCAGTGGATCTGGTTCAGGCGTAGGAGCGGGCCGTGGTAGTGGATCTGGTTCCGGTGCAGGAGCAGGCCGAGGTAGTGGATCTGGTTCTGGTGCAGGAGCGGGCCGTGGTAGTGGATCTGGTACTGGCGCAGGAGCAGGCCGAGGTAGTGGATCTGGCGCAGGAACAGGCAGTGGCAGTGGATCTGGTTCTGGCGCAGGAGCAGGCAGTGGCAGTGGATCTGGTTCTGGTGCAGGAGCGGGTCGTGGCAGTGGATCTGGTTCTGGTGCAGGAGCGGGTCGTGGTAGTGGATCTGGTTCTGGCGCAGGAGCGGGCCGTGGTAGTGGATCTGGTTCTGGCGCAGGAGCAGGCCGAGGTAGTGGATCTGGCGCAGGAGCAGGCAGTGGTAGTGGATCAGGTTCCGGTTCGGGAGCGGGCAGTGGTAGTGGATCTGGGTCGGGATGGGGTAGTGGTTCGGGAATCGGACAAGGTGTCGGCCGAGGATATGGATCTGGTTCAGGAGCGGGTAGCGGTAGTGGATCTGGATCAGGAAGTGGTTCAGGCACCGGACAAGGCATAGGGGTTGGTTTAGGTAAAAAAAAAATCAAATTAAGTTCTCACAAGTTACACTTGTTTCTCACGTTTCTCGTGCAAGCAAGCTTTATTCACAGCATAACTTTTGGGTGACTGTTTTTTCATCTTAAAATTCATTTTCTGCAGGTGGGCTCCTTTGAAACACTACCCGAAGTGTTAGATTTCCGGATGGGTCCTACAAGTGATAACCTGACAAACTGGAAATTTCATTCATAGACCACGTTGAAACTCCCGCTATTAATCAAATGCGCCATCTTCAAGGAGTCGTACATTATTTTTAAGTCTTTTCAATGATTCGCATTATTTGAATATTCGCGCATTCTATCCACTATTGCTTTATTGGCCATTGTTACTATCGAATTTCACCATGTATATACATTATATTAGCCAAAAGAATATAGCATGATACAGAATCTATATTTATTTATTGTTGGGATAAAAATTTGCAATTCGTAAAAAATTAAGTTCAATTAAATTTGAAGTTTAACGCCGCTGTTTGCCAGATTATAAAAAATTGTTGCTGGCGTCCTCCCTTGAGTGGAATCAAAGTAATTTTCCTCTGGATTCAACAGAGTTCCTACATCTAAACTGCTCCATAGTCTACCCCAGAGAGGATTGACTTGTTGAAAAAGTATCAGGGGAACATAAAAATCGAGGAGGTATTCACTGGAATCGAAAAATTCGAAATTTTCAAAAACGTATCAGGGAATTCATTTTTGAAAATTCAGGGGATGTATGTGGCACCCTCTCTTTCTTGCTGTGAGGTACTACAATACTGGTGCGGTCACTCAAACCCCCAGAATTGAGCCTCTACTTTAGTCAATCCTCTTCAGTCTACCCTCTTTGTGCAATTTTTCTGAATATTTTTCATATCCGTAGAAATGATCATGCGCACATGAGATAATATTAGTTGATATATGTTGATATATATCAACTGACAAGAGTTACGAGTGTCCGCTTATTTCAGTGCTAACAAAATTCCCCATTTGTATTACCTATATTCAGTTGATCATTTACCTATAAGAAGACTCATTACTTTCATTCTTCAGTATTTGGATAACCCCGAGCTGTTCACACGCCTTTTTTTGTAGTCCTTATACTACATACGAATGGTGTGGGTGGTAAAACTATTGCTATTATCAACTGTTATTGCGTGTAAGGATTTATTTTTGAAGCAGTGAAAATACCAAAACAACTGCAAACATGTTTTGGACTAACATTTACGCATTATCGCCACACATCGAGGCTCTGCTCAACAAAGAGGTGAGTATAAATTATTGACACACACACTGTTACTCACTATTGAACGCAATTTTTCTCATTGAATTATTTAATTTAATAACCCACTCTGCATTTCGTTATGAACAATTCTCATCGTTTTTTTTTCATAACTTCCCTGGTATCACTATCATATCCTCTTTCCCTGTTGTAATTGGATCTAAGCACTACTGGTTGCATGTCATTATCCGGTTGCTATGAAAATTCAGCACTCAACGTTTTCATTCAAATGCCATTCATTTTTATTTCTCATAAAGGATATCACTCTGCACGAGCTAATGGACCAAGAGGAAATCGTTGCTGAGTGTAAAAGCCAGAATAAGAAATTGGTGGATTTGTGAGTAATCTGGAGTCACTGGATTTATTTTCCACTGCTATTGTTTTGACGAGTTATCAATGAGTAATCGATTCCTATTTTCTATTCAATTCATAGTTTAACAAAGCCTGAAGTTATCGAGGAGTTGGTGACTTTAACCACTAAAGAACCTTCCAATGATGTTGACGAACGTTGGCGTTACAAGTATCCAAATGTTGCTTGCGAATTACTCACTTGCAATGTACCTACACTTAACGAAAAACTAGCTGGTAATTACGATTTTCCATTATAGAATACCCTTTTTCTCTCCACGAGGAATATGACGAGGTAGTGCAGCTCTAAACATTGCTCGTCAATTTTAGAAATGGAATGACATAACAATTTTTAAGTTCTTTCTCGTATTTTTGTGCGAAATGACAATTAGAATTTATTACTCATTATTATGCCGCCAGGTTCGGAAGCACTACTGGCGAAACTATATACGTTCATTGACACCGATAAATGCCTGAATCCTCTGCTGGCCTCATTCTTCAGTAAGATAATTGGGGTACTGCTGATACGAAAAAGTGATCAGGTGAACACGATTATTACAATTTATTCTCATTAATCGAGATGTTGATATTCGATTCCCATGAGGAATTGAACAGCATCAGGGGTTAAGCGTTGATTACTGAATAATATATCGTTCGTTCTTCTCCTCTCTCCTCACTCCATTCATTTCCGTCCATTCCGATCGTTTCCGCTCTGTCCACTTCCTTGAAACTACCAGAATTGGTATTCCTATCAATTCATGTGTTTGCAGGTCCTAGAATTCCTTAAAAGTCGCCAACAATGCGTCGATCGACTTTTACAACACTTGGAAACTTCAGCAATTATGGATTTAGTTCTGAAACTTGTTACCAAAGTTGAGGGCACCGACATGCGACAGAATATCTTGAATGTGAGCTTTACGTCCCATTTGTGAATCTATTTAAGTTTATTTAAATTAAAATTAAATTAAATGATTTAAATTCAAAATTTCCTTATGTACGAAAAATGAGCATATCTGGCTTTAAAGAAAAATCAGTGGAAGCCGGAGGAAATTTTCTCCATGGATTCTCAATGATTTTTTTGACACTATTTTATTCGAAATTTTGTTGAGAATTCATTGAATATTTTTAATTACAAAGTTGAATTTATGGTAGCGATTTTTCTTATTTTTGTATTTCTGTCCGATTTCTCGTTCACTATGAAGTGGCTGGATAGTCAGCATCTTATACAGCAGTTGATAAAAATATTATCACCGACAATGGATTCATCGAGACACGGAAATGCTTCACAATTACTTTGTGATATTATCAAATCGGCAAGGGAGTTCAGGATAACGTGTACGGAACGCACTGATCCTGATCCTATTTTGAATACTTTGGAGTCGTGAGTATCCAGAATATTTTCTTCATTAGGATTTTACGTCATTCTCATATTCATAGATAGTGATAATTTTAAATTTTTACTAGGGAGGAAACAGTGTCTTTACTTCTAAGTACAATTCTATCTGATCAACCAGTGGAGAGTAGTATTGTGGGTGGAATTGAAGTGCTTCTCGTACTGTTGAGCCAGGGAACAAATAAGTAAGTCCTCCACAAGAAATGAAATGAAAGCAAAGCTGTTCATTTGTTCAGAATATTCCCCACGAAGAGCTGATCAATTGTGTTGACTACGATTGAATTGAGTAATATAAATAATTTTTTATAGTATGTTAAGGGAACCAGAGTTGCAAGAGAATAATCCCTGTAATGATCCCACCGATACCGTCGATCGTGTGAAAATTCAAAACGCGACTCTTCCGTACCTGGAGAAGTTCCATAAACTTCTGTTAAACCCACCGCCTGTAAGTCAGCTAATATTTCTGCGGTGTAAATTTAATTTTTGATTCATTACAATTTTATCTGTAGAAAGCGGCAGTAAGAACCACCGCAGGATTGCTAGAGAAACCTCTCGGCAATACACGGCTGCATATCGCAAAATTATTATCTGCACTTCTAGCCACCGAGAATGTTAATGTGTTCCAGAAGTTAGCAGAACTAGGAACATTCCAGACCCTATTGGTATGTTAAGAGATTTGATATCAATTTCATAAATCAATGTTACTCAAAAATTAATGGGAATTCAACTTACAACTCGATTGGATTGAATTTCAGGATCTATTTTTCAAGTACTCCTGGAATAATTTTCTTCATACTCAAGTAGAGCAATGCTTGGCCTTAGTAATTAATGGAAACTGGGAGGAAAATAGCCAATCTGTTTATATGCACGTGAGTTAAACACCAAATAAAAAATAAAACTTGATTATTCGATTTAAAAAGTGTAAAATAGTATATTGCGGAACAAGTGCGTAATGGATTTTTTGGCTCGTGGGAGGGTTGTAACACATACCGGAGGTGATTGCCGAATCATAAAACAAAATAAATGATTTCTCTGTATTGCAGATATTTTCCCAGTGTAAATTAATTCAATGTATCTTGGACGCATGGACTGGTAATGATACTCATCAGAACACGGAGAAGGGCATACGCCAAGGCTATATGGGTCATTTGATTAATATAGCCAATAATATTGTTCACCAAACCGAGAAGTGCGAGAATTTGGACACATTTTTAAAAGTCAATATCAGTATGGAGTGCTTAGTTGAATGGGAAAAACTGGTCAATACTCAATTGGCTGGAATAAATGAGACTCATCAAATTTTGCTGGTAACCATTTTCATCTAGTTAATTTTTAGGATTTACTCGTAATTATTATTCAATAACCATAATTACCATCAGTATTTGCTATTTATTTTCAGGGCGGAAAAGACCAATCTTTTATGACATCTACAGAAGATAATTCCGAAGAATATTCTTATTCTCAGGACGCCTACATTCAACAGGTAGGTCTCCAGAATATTCCGATTAATCTCCAGGTTGTCGAGAATAACTCCGGACAAATAAAAGTTTAAACAATTATATTTATGGCTCCTAAAATCTTATTAGGTTTATGCAAATTATCAGGGACAACTAATGACGTCGCACTTCATTGAAGATTACGGCTTTCATGATGATGAGTTTAATGACGGGAATGATGCTCTTCAGTATGTAATTCGATTAATATGAATATATGATATAAATGCAAATCACCTCCACTTTTATATAAATTTTAATCTTTCTCACAGGCCAAGCAATTCCGTCGATCAATTGACCACGATGCCTTTCGCTTTGAGCGAGACAGATCTTGCTAAAACGGAAGATATATTTAATAAGGTAATAAATGCCTGAAGCACTGTAACTTGAAGAAAATCTTCACGATTTAAATTACGTTGATGAATTGTAGATATGTCAACAAAAACAAAAATCAGGATTAGACGAGGGTGGAGTTGAATGGGGAGATGAGGGAGACATGACTTTTCAAACAGTCATTGATAAACGAGATTGGCCTTTCAAACAGCAACGCCATGATTCTACATCTTCTGATGAAGACGAAGAAACGAAAGATCTACACATGGAGATTGATTCGTCTGATCGTGAGTATTAAATAATAAAGACCCTATAATTTCATCGTAATTTTGTTAACAACATTCTCTCCAGCTTGGGACTCAGCTGAGGCCATTCCAAGTAATATTGTCCTCCCTCAAGTGAATCCATGGGACGTAGCGGTTTGTCAGTCCGAAGAATCCGCAGGTTGGGCTAATTTTGATAATTTCGAGAGTACGTTGAACATAGCGAGTCCACCGGAATCCCAGAATGCTAAAGAAGCTGCTGAACAGGGAGCCATATCTGAAACAGCAGCTCCAGCAAGTCCAGCGACACTGAATACAGCTGGGGAGAATCAGCCAATTGTCCAAGGAAGTCAAACAGACAATGAGAAAAAAGAGAAGAGTATTATAGCTGACAGCCTTCCAGCGAACGAACCTGAGAGAAGTAAAAGGTGATTATTTCGATCTAATGTGAAGAGAATATGAAAAATTATTTAATCAAAAATTATGTGAAACAAAATTAATTGCCTGATCATTTTATTTCAGCAATGTCGAGGAACCAGAAGATAAGCCACGTGCACTTACAGCGTTATAAGAAGAATTTTCATCTACTAATTAACTATGAATACTAATACTACGTTAATCTTGTGTAAATTAATTAGGAAGAAGGAATGAAAACATTTCAATCGTTATGATGAAATAAAAAAAAATAGAAAGATGTTTACAAGCAAAGTATTAATTCATATATCATAGATCATATCAGAATAAAACAGCGTTGAATTTTATTTACGGAATAAAATTAATTAAGAAAGAAGTATTCTTGAAATTTCTTACTGATGATTATTTCAATTATCAAACAAGTCGTTAACAATTTTAAAGTGATTTTAAAATTATACAATATTTTATCACGGATAATCAATGATTTTGGATAATTTTTTCATTCGCGGATTTTGTCGCGGTTGAGCCGCCATTTTGACGGCAGGCTGAGGCATCCATGATTCGATTTAGTCGATTTGAGTCGATGCATGAATAACTGCGAGATATATCTAACAGATGAAATATTGCAGAAGATTTTTATGAGGAGGTGATTAATGAATAACAATCAAAACATCAATTATCATTCTCACAAAACGTTTGCAAATGCATTTGAAAACGGGAAGTTCATGAAATCCGGCGGCGCTAGTATAATTTTATTATCTTCGGGATTTATATAGTGACATTCTCCTTATTCTAGTATCTTTTGTGCATTTTGTTAGTAACCATGCTCGATTATTCTGTTATGAAACAACACATACATTGTCGCTTTGTAATGTAGAGAGCCCTATCTAATAACACGTGCATAACTGGGATGCGATCATTGCTGTAAGACCTCCATCGAGAAAATTTCCAGGACCCCACCGGCAACCCATCTCTTCACGTGCATTGAATTCAGGAAAACTTGAAATATATATCACAATGGCAACGATCCTGCGATATGTCAGGTATTTACGACAAAGCGGTAGTATTGCGAGGAAGATAAATATAAGTCAGAGCCACATTGAATCGAGGGTTACGAGACTCCAGAATCGAGGCGTAACAAGGTGAAATTACTCATTATTCATTGTACTTGTTGCTTAATGATTGTTGAGAATTTTCGAGCTCATTGATACAATTGTGTAGAAATTATGCAACGAGAGCAATTAATCGACCGGTACAGCCTATTTATGGTTTTGAGAAGTCCTTCCAATCTCTTGAAGTACAGCTGAGACGTTCTGGAAGAACCAGCAGAGTCGATATTGAGAGGATACTTGGAGAAATACAATTAGCAGGTAATTAGTAATTGACGCTTTTTCCACAGGATCTTCAATCTCGAGTTCGTGTGGAATTTTTCGTCGAATTTTCGTAAAAAATGTAAAACGGCTCTGGGACATAGCTCCATTCGGAGCTTTCCTTAACCTATAATTTACTGATTTTTTTCAATTTAAACCAATGACAAGTTGTTTTGAAAGCTAATCAATCGTTTTCACTGCTCACTGGTGAATGGGAAAGAAATATTTCCATTATCTAACGATACGATTTTTTTTTTTACTTTCTTGTTTCATTATCGTAAAAAATGGGTGATTTGGTTATTTTAAGGGAACGTTCCAAGTCTTGAGGCTCTGTTGCTCATTCGTTGTTGTGGAAGACCTTTGATCGACCAAAATTCTAAAGAGGGAATTCAATTGGTTCAAGAAATATGGGATACACTGCAAAGATTGAAAATTCCTATGGACGCGTCTCACTACAATGCACTCCTCAACGTGTACCTGGAACGGGATCACGATTTTTCCCCCGCGGAATTCCTCCAGATGATGGTGGAAAATAAGATCATACCAAATCGTGTGACTTACCACCGCCTGATCGAGAGTTATTGTCGCAAGGGTGACATTGCAAATGCGACAAAAATAATCGACATGATGCGGTCAAATAATTTCCCACTCTGTGAGAATGTCTTCAATTCCCTGATAATCGGTCACTCCGAGGCGAACGACATGCAAAGTGCAGAGAAAATTTTAGAAACAATGAAAGCCGCAGGTATCGAGCCCTCAGCTGACACCTACGGGGCTCTCCTCTGTGCCTACGCTAAACGTGGAGATCTGCCCTCCATCAACAAAACAATAGCCACCCTGGAATCCCTAGAGATAGCATTACTGGATCAACACCTGATGGACATAATCGAGACCCTCGTCACGAACGGACACAGCGACAAAGCTGCAGAGTTCTCTCTGAATCTCCCAAAAGAGATAAAACAAGATACAGAAGTTGGTCGACTCCTTATTAAGATAATGGACGCCAAGGAAACAAAATTAGCTCTAGACATTCTTAAGAATACGACAACAGACGCTGCCAGATTGCAAGTTCGCGCTGGATTTCTCTTACGGGCAGCAGCAACGAACAAATTATACACTCCAGACGAACTAATCGATCTTTGCAACGTCCTAGGAGATGGAGGATATCACTTAAGACCTCACTCCTTTGCACTGTACCACTTACTTTCACGGAATCCATCCTCCAGCATAGCCATTCCTCTCATGAAAAATTGGGAGAAACAGGGAGGACAAATAAGAGAGCACTTCTTCTGGCCACTGCTGCGAGAAAAAGCTCGCGCTAGTAATTACCAGGGGATCATTGACGTCCTCGAATCGATGGTCAACGATTTTAAAATAGTTCCATCAGTAGATACTCTACGAGATTACACTATTCCTTTCATGTTTGGAACATGGGACACCATAATCAGCAAACTTTTGCCCTTGGGCATTGAAAAAAAGACAATTTTACAAGCGATTGCCCAAAGGTCGATTAATGACAAGAAATTGAGGAACGCTATGATGTTCATGACGTCCTATCCCATCAAGTACTCGAAGGATTTGTTCTTGGAGCCTATGGCGTTCTCCTTGAATATGTGGGACGATACAAAATCGTTCGTCACTATTTTGAGATTTTTAGAGGATGAGTCCTCTGAAAATTCCGAAGCTAATACAGATAATCTGCCAATGAGTATTGTTGATGAGGCTGTATCAACAGTTCTATCAACCGTTCCCAAGTATCGCCCGAATATTGTGGAAAAATTGCTCTTCGATCTTGAGGCTGCCGGTCTCAGTATATCTGTCGAAGTAGGAGAGAATGTAAAGGCCTTTTTTGAGTCGAAGAAAGCAAAAGAGCTCGAACCTATTATCGCCAAGCTGACGTCTGGAGAGTTAACTCCAGTCCCAATTGAGGAATTCAACGCTCTTCTCAAGGACAAGAATAATGATTATATTAAGAGACCAACGGGAGTGCATATACCAGACTTAAGGGTTCAATTCTCTCGTCACTTGGAGGATAAGAACGAGGAGATGGTCCTCAAAATTTTAAGGCAATTTGAAGCGTTAGATTATCAATCGCCACCGATTTTGGCTCAAGCCCTTGATCTTTTCTGCATGACGGAGAATCTGGAAGCAGCAGAGCACTGCTTCAAGCAGTTTAAAGAGCGCTGTCTCGAGGCAGAGCTCGACACAATGAAGATACTGAGCTTTGCTGCATTGTACGTGAAGAACAATCGGTTTGAAGATGCTCTGAAGATCATCGCTGAAGCCCCCAAGCTAGAAGGCAGCGAGAAACTCTCACGGGGACTTAAAATAAAAGTCAGATCACTCCTAGAGTCAATGGCAGAGACCCAAAATATCGAGAATACCAATCAACTATTCGATTTACTCAAATCCAAGAATTACGTAGTGTTCGATAATTATTCACTTGGGCCTTTGGTGAAGATTCATCTACTCAGGAATGAAGTTGATAAAGCTATGGAGACTTTTGAGCGTCTATCGCATGAATACAACTGTACACCGTATAAAAATGTTCTCGCAACAACTCTGATTGACGCCGAAGACGCTATTTCCTTGCAGAAACTCACAGATCTCTGCACTGAAATTCATGGAGAGAGCAATGCACTAGTTGATCTTGCGATGCTATTTCTGGAGTGTGGGAGACCCATACAGGCGAGAAAAATCCTCGAGACGTCGGGTATTCAAATGTTCAATGATAAAATCACGAGTGCAGTTAAACATTTTGATGCACTTGAAAAATTCGATTGCCTCGAGCTTTTATCGAAGATCTCCAGGGCGGTTATGAGGATAGACAGGGGTCACTTGTACAATTCTCTTCTGGAAGTTTACAACAACAGGAATGATTGGCAGAAAGGATTAACCCTGTGGACAGAAATGCAGGAGATGGACGTTCAGCCGACTAATTATTTCCTGAATACCCTGAATTCATTGCTGACGAGAAATGAACAACCAATACCTTTTATTCATGAGAGTTCTGCAGAACCTCGGTTACCATCTGTAGCACCCTCAGTTCGTCATCCACGAAGACAGAGGCTCAGGAATACCTTTGTATTCGATGAGAAATTTAAAAATGCCTTGAAGCTTAAGGATTGGGCTGCTGCTGAGGACATCATCAGGTCTGGCATAAGAGGAAAGAAAGAAATGAGATTTATGTATACAGAATTAATTCACGCGGTTTTGGAAGATGGCGACGTGGAGAGAGCAGGTGATCTTGTCCGAGTGATCATTCAAGAATTAGGAGGCATCTCCAAGAGGTTGTTCACATTAGTCTGTGAAGAATTGCTAGCTCGAAAAAAGCATAAGACTATTGAGGATATCGGGGCATCTATGACTGAGGATGTCAAGGACGATCTCGATTATTATAAAATATTATCGCGTTCGGAAATTAGAAAATCGGGAATTAAAAAATATCTGCAAGAACTGAAAGTCGATGAACCTGTGGGTGAATTCAGATCCTTTGAAAAGAAGGTACACTTTGGAGAGATGATGCATGGGTTGTTGAAGGATCCTAGCTATGTAGAGGATTATGAAAAGTGGGCAAGGAATATGATGAGTCAACAGATCAGTAGGGGAATGCACGTCTTGTGGAATTATTATTTTGTGAAGAATAATGCAAGGGCTGAAGAACTCTGGCATGAGTTCATCCTCAATGCAACTTCTCCGTTAGTGAGGCCCATTATTGAACTGTCCGTGGAATCGAAGGATCCAGTGTTATTGAAGAAATTGTTGATGAAGCTGGAGTCACATCCACGATTGAATGTCGGGACCAGGTGTAGAGTCATTTCTGGATTGATACAGGCGCTCAATGCCACGGGGCAGTACGAGGAGGGACTCGAGGTGTTGAAAGATGCCAGCAAACGGTACCGATTGAGTTTATTGAATCTCAACGTTCTCGATGAACTCAAGCAAGGAATCGAGAAATCTGGCAAGAATTTTCCCTTCAACCTCCAACAACAAGGTGAATTTAATTGTATTCCATCGATCCGGGAGAGAAGTAAAGAGAGAAATTAATTATTTTGATTGTGTAATATCTTTTAATTCTTTCAGATACTAAAGTGGTCAGTGAAGTAATCCAGGAACCCATGAAGGAGTCCGGGAGGGCGTAGAATAGTAGCGGTGAAACTCGCTTAAGTTTAAATTAATCTAATGAATTTACACTTACGATACGACGATTATGTAGATGAGCATTATCCATTGTGAACATCATCTTTCGCCCTGTGAGGTTGTTTTTAATGTATGAGGTGGGAACGAGAATGCGACAATTATTAAAGTTGTGTGGTGTAGAATTTATTTAATTGAACACTCGATTTTGGCCCTTAAATTTCGAAGCCCTCGAAATATTGCGGATTTGAAACTTTTGTTCCGCTCCACTTGCGTATTCCAAAGAAAATTAATTGGAAATCGTTACTGAGGAATAAATATCAGGGATGAGTCGGTGAAATAATTTTGGAGAGATACACTAGAAAAACGAAATTGTAACAAATTCAACGATAACTTCAAAACCATTTGTTTCAGTATTTAATTAAAGTTTCAAAATAAAAAGTGGTAAGTTTATCATTTATATCACATTGTATCTTGATAATGTATAGATAACAAATATATTACGTTGGCATAGCAATTATCAATAAAAGATATTCGACTCGTAAATGAATGAGACATGAAATAATTTATTTTATTCTTTTATTCATAAAATTCACTCTTCATAAGCAAAAAATTCCACGGTAAAAAATCAGTTGAACATGTTCTTGAAAAGTTTAATATTTAATTTTGAAAAGTACAAAAATTATAGTAGAAATGAAAGAGACTATCAGTATCGAATTGAATGACAAAAATGATTCCAACGGTTTGAACTATCGACAAACACATATTGGCACAACTAAGTTCGTTGATGCCTTACTATATCAACAATTACTTTTTTTTTTCTTACAGGTACGTCACTGGATGCCAATCGTCTAAAAACCATAATTTATGGCTCCATAAATACAAAAATATTCGCCCGTAGGTTTATTTCTTTATAGTCTGATTTTTTTCTTGAGAAATAATAGCTGTGGAAATTGCTAGACATAAATTGCAATGATTTTTCTCGGTTTAATCATATGAAAACTATTACTAATCTACAAAAACTCTTCACACCAGTCGTTCAGGCATTGATAGCAATCGTTCGAGTACTTGAGACTGGCTCCGCAAACGTCTTTCATCCATTCTTGAAATAATTCTCGATCTTTCTTGAGGACTAGATATTGACCGAGAACAATAGATGCCTGTAAACATTGTCAATAAATATTTCATTAACCCAATAATAAAAATAAACGAGGATTTTCTCTCACTTCATTCACTCTACAATGAATGGATTTAAAAATTTTACAATTGTATGTAAAAATAACTTATAGTGCAAGGCAATGTCCATTAATTACTGAAATACAGACATTTCGCAGGATTTTTTTTTCTCTCAATATTTTGAGGATAAGCTTAATTAAAAAATGATATTTTTACAATTAAATTACAATAGAGATAAACTAACCTTATCAAATCCCGCAGCTTCTAGCCTCTTTCCTAGGACCTCTCCAACACCGGCTAGCTCTGTTACAGGTTTGTCTCCCATGGGTTCAGCCACAAAATTCTTGTGTTTCTGCGAAGTGCTCGACATTTTTCACCTGATAATAATCTTTTGGCTATAAAAAAAATACTTCAATTATCTCAAGTGAATTAATTCAGATATGATGTAAGAGCTAAAAATAAATATTGAAGATATCAATTCCATTAATTATTAGTCTCAAGAACGACCTGTCATTTCAAAGACACATTAATAAATTAATAATAATGATCATTTTAATAAAATCTTGAAATGAATGTGAAAGATTTTCAAATAGCGATCACTCAAGATAAACGCCAGTTGATGTTCATGCATCATCATCGTCAACAGAACAATTTTTCTACTTTTTTTAATAAACAAATCAATTTATGAATAACAGATAAGGTGTGAATACTCACTTGGGGCTTATGTATCGAGAGGTTTGCAATCCAATTTGTTTATTTGTTTAGTAATGTTTGTGAATTTCACTGTGGAAATTCTTGTATGGAAATTGCGCCGAATGATGCACAACAGCACAACAGACATTGAATTATGGAGGAAACAGAAAAAATAGGGGAATTAGGGGTGAAGGCGTATAGAGGGCACCACAAAGATTTCTCCATCAAAATAAATTGGTTGAATCGGTTGAGTTCTGGGGGTTTGAGTGACCCCAGCAGCATCGTAGTACTGCACCCCTAGAGAGGGAGGGCGCCTCACGCAATGCTGGGGTGTTTTTTTTTTATTAACCAAGTTTTTATTGCAATGCTGGGGTGTC